CCAGGAGTAAATTGGAAGCTCCTAGAAGGGAAAAATAGGCACATATGAAAGACTGACAAAAACAAAGGCCAGATTTCCCACAATAGCATGAAAAATCAGATGATAAGTGAATAATAACCTCAAAATTCTGAGTGAAAATGATTCATCCAATCAAAAATTCTTTACCTAGCCAACTTGACAATCAAATATAATAGGTTTTTGGGTTTGTTTGGTTTTTTTTAGCTATTTCATGAAAAACCTTCAAAAACAAAAAAGTGACAGCCTGCCAGCCTTTCTGTAGCTACTGGAGGAATGTGCTCTCACGAAATGAGGAGGGAGCCAAAAAAACAGACATCCACAGAGCCCAAGGAACAAAGGATCAATACAGACAGAAGCCAATGGGATTCCCAGGGTTATAGCTGAGCAGCAGGCCCAGAGATCCTTGTGTCCAGACTGGAGCATGGGCACTAGGGCTCCAATTTAGATGACTCCAAGGGGTGGGAAGTGGAATCAGGAGTTCATCAGACAGGTGAAAAATCACAGCAGGGTATTTTGAGCCCTCAGAGAGTATGGGGAGACAGACACACATTCAGAGAAAACAAAGATAATGAAAATAAGACAATTACAAATTCCAGGAAAATCAATGCTCTACAAAAGAGGAAAGCTCATCATGACACACCACTTGGGCCTCAGCGTTAATAATACTGTCATAATCAAACACGAGAAATATCAAAGGAGGATTTGACCACAGTATATGAAGGGAAAACAGCACTCCTCATTTACTAAGATAGGAAGATATAAATAATGTCCCAATTTGGTTAATTTATACATTGTGTCTAAAAAAAATAGAGGTGAATACCGGAAGAGACAGCTAAAAAGAATTTTAAAATTACTGCCCTAGGAAGCAGGGTTAGTCAGGAGACTCTTGATTTTTTTGCTTCTAACTTCTTAATTCTATTTATTTTCCAGTTGTAATAAAAATAATTCAATAGAAGTAGAAATTATTCTTAATTTATTAGTGATGACTGATAACAAGAGCTAACTTTCAGGGAGCACTTGTTGTGGGCCAGGCTTCGAGCTGAGAGCTTTACACATGTTATCCATACTATCTTTGCCTTGAAACTGAGTCCCATTGCTGGAGACTAAATATTTAGGTCCCTGCAACATTCATAGGTTGAAAACGAACTTCCAGTGTGATGGTATTTGGAGGTTGGGGCTTCGGGAAGTATTTAGATCATGAGGGTTTTAGTATTTAGATCCCTTCATGAATGGGATTGGTACCCTTATAAGAGAGACTCTAGAGAGATGCCTCACCCCTTCCACCACGTGAGGACACAGAGAAAATGACAGCTACTTATGAACCAGAAAGTGGAGCCTCCCAAGACACCAAATCTACAGGTACCTTGATCCTAAACTACAGAACTGTGAGTAATAAGCTTCTGTTGTTTCCAAGCCACCCAGTCGACGCTATTCTATTTCAGTAGCCCGATGGGATGAAGACACTATTATCATCACCCTATTTCACAGATGAGGATACTGAGGCTTACAGTTAAGCAACTGGCCAAGCAGTGTGAAGATACAAATTCAGATTTAACTCAGGAACCAGGACTCCTATTCTATACCACCCTTAAATTTTTAAACACTTTATTTCCTATGCCATTCTAACAGGCACTAAAAGAAGCTATGTGTCAGTAAATGCATTACCCAGACACATATCTCCTGATGAAAAAAAGATTCTTGAGACAAGTGAACATATTCTGTCATCTACATAAGCTCTGATTGGTAGTTCCTCTTTTTTTTCCCCCCTTTCCTAATGCTCTATGTTAACTAAGTGAAATTAAAGCTTTTCTTATTCAAATTTCAAATGGAACATTTTAGCAGACAAAACTCCACTAAAAATCAAAAGGAAATGGGGTTTGTTGGCAGCAAGCACCAAAATCTAGGCACTAGAGTTCTGTCCAATGAGCAGATCCTAACAAACCCAAATGGAAATAAAAGTTACAGTTTTCATAACTCCCCAAGAAAAATTTTGCACCCTTTTTTGGAAAGGGTATAGGAAATCGATCCTCAGATCCACCGCTGGTGAAGGAGCAAATTGATAAAACACCTGGGGAGTAAATTTGGTAATATTCATTGCAATCTCATTTCTGGGAATTTATCCTACAAACACATGGCACACAGAAGAAGTGATTATTCATGAATTTATTTATTGCAGCATGATTTTTAATGACAAATGATAGGAAACTGCCTTTCAAATGGGGACTGGTTAAATTACAAAACAGAACTAAATGGAATATTACATGGCAGTTAAAAGGAGTGTTTAAAGCAATGTCCATAACAGCCAAACAATGGAAAGAGCCCAGATGTCCATCAACAGATGAATGGATAAAGAAGATGTATGGTGACTAACGTAACATAAAAAATAAATAAATACATGAAATAAATCGCTCACAAAATTTAAAAAAAAGAAGATAGGCTGTATATATATATATATATACAATGGGATATTACTCAGCCATCAAAAAATGAATTCTTACCATTTGCAATGACATGGATGGAACTAGAAAATATTATACTAAGCAAAACAATTCAATCAGAGAAAGACAATTATCATACAGTTTCACTCCTATGTGGAATTTAAGAAACAAAACAGGATCACAGGGGAAGGAAGGGAAAAATAAAACAAGACAAAATCAGAGAGGGAGACAAACCACGAGAGGCTCTTAACCATAGGAAACAAACTGAGGGGGGCGCCTGGGTGGCTCAGAGGGTTAAAGTCTCTGCCTTCAGCTCAGGTCATGATCCCAGGGTCCTGGAATCGAGGCCCGCATTGGGCTCTCTCCTTTGGTGGGGAGCCTGCTTCCTCCTCTCTCTCTCTGCCTGCCTCTCTGCCTACTTGTGATCTCTCTCTGTCGAATAAATAAATAAAATCTTAAAAAAAAAAAAAAAAAGGAAACAAACTGAAGGTTGCCGGAGGGGAGGGGGGTGGGGATGGGGTATCTGGGTGATAAACATTAAGGAAGGCATGTGATGTAATGAGCACTGGGTGTTATAGGCAACTGATGAATACTGAACTCTACCTCTGAAACTAATATTACCCTATATGTTAATTAATTGTATTTAAGTAAAATAATTTTAAAAAAATAAAAAAGGAGTGTTTAGGGCACCTGGTGGCTCAGTTGGTTGAATGACTGCCTTCAGCTCAGGTCATGATCCCGGAGTTCCAGCACTGAGTCCCACATTAAGCACCCCACTCATCAGGGAGTTTTCTTCTCCCTTTGACCTGAACCTCCCCCTTCCCATGCTCCCTCTCTCACTCTCTCAAATAAATAAATAAAATCTTTTTTTTTTTTTTAAGAGTGCTTAAATGTATGGACTCTGAATTGTTTGGGGTTAAGTCTGGATTAAGTCCTATGTAACATGAAGCACAGCCACCTTAGGTCACAAAATCCTCAGTTTTCAAGGATTTTGTCAACTGTTTAGCACAGCCATTATTAAAAATTAAATTATATAAACTTACAATTAAATAAATGTTACAAACAAAGATAGTAAATAATCAATTCATCACCTCCTAGCTTTTTTACCATACTGTTATCTATGTCTTGACTAGGCTATTTAGGTCTAACTACCTGTATGAGAGAAATATCATATAATGGTATGTGACTGGGCATCTCCTAGTGTAGTGTTCATCATTTTCACGTTGTTAGCTTGAAATCAGCCATGGTGGGGATATTTACACCTCTGAAATTGTCAAATGCTACAGATGGGAACTCTTTTCTTAGCCATGTGTTACATATTATCAGCATACCACCGATATGTGTGTTCTTTTTTTTTTTTAAATAAAGATTGTATTTATTTATTTGACAGGCAGAGATCACAAGTAGGCAGAGAGGCAGGTGGGGGGTGGGGGGAAGGGGGAGCCGGCTCCCTGCTGAGCAGAGAGCCCGATGTGGGGCTCAATCCCTGGACCCTGAAATCATGACCTGAGCCAAAGACAGAGGCTTTAACCCACTGAGCCACCCAGGCGTCCCTGGTATGTGTGTTCTGTACCTCAATTTTGCCATCTGTAAAATCAAGATAATAATAGAACCTTCCTGATAGGGTTGTTGTGAGGATTAATGAGTTAATATATGTAAAGCATTAGAAGAGTGTCAATACAAGGGTTAACTATACATTGTATTATTATTGTTGTTGTTGTTGTTATTGTTACTGGCACAGAAAGATGTCCGAGCTATGTTGTTATTTTTTTTTATGCTGGGAAAAGTGTGTATGAGTTACTTTTTGGATATTAAACAGGGAAAATTTTTAATACATAGTCATAGGTTCTTATAGAAAGAAGCCTTGGCGGAAGGCACAAGAAATGAATCTAAGTAGTTACCTGGTTTGTCCTTGATTGGAGAAATGAGTTTGAGGACTTTAGTAAGAGCAAGACTTTTCACTGTACATTGTATTTTCATTGATTTTTATGTTCTTCAACTATGTGAATGTATCGTCTATTTAAAATGTTGCCTTTAAAAAAAAAAAAAAAAAGAACAAGTTTGGGGCGCCTGGGTGGCTCAGTGGGTTAAAGCCTCTGCCTTCGGCTCAGGTCATGATCCCAGGGTCCTGGGATGGAGCCCCACATCGGGCTCTCTGCTCCGTGGGGAGCCTGCTTCCTCCTCTCTCTCTCTGCCTGCCTCTCTGCCTACTTGTGATCTCTGTCAAATAAATAAATAAAATCTTTAAAAAAAAAAAAAAGGAACAATTTTCATTGACCCAGTAAGCATTTCCTCCTCATCTGCTTAACCAAAAAACCATGGGAAATACTCTGTGAGTCTCGAAAGGGGACCTGGACAAAGGAGAGACCATGGTCCCTGTCCTCCACGCACGCATGCTCCACCTGGGGGAGATGACACGTGCACAGGAGACCCCCCCCCACCGGCAGGGGGGAACACTCATCTGACCCTGGGGTACAAACACTACAGGGCTTTACACTTCTTTCACAATTAGAATGACATGAAATGGCTCTTGAAGTTACTTACCCTGTTGTATACGGGATGTTTATGCCTCCTAGATTAATACTTTCACACCCAACAATAAATAGGGTTGAAAAACACAGTAAAGACACACCACTGCAGATCATGGCAAGTTTAGCAGATTCTCTTGCACCAAGTTTCAATTTCTTTATAATGTAGCCTCCCAGGACAATGCCAACACCAGCACTGGGGACAATAATTACACCTAGAGAGAAGAAGGGAAGGACAGGATTAAGTGAAGTCCTATATGCTGTAATTTGTTTTCTAATTACTCTGTTTCTACTTACTTATTAGTATTAAAGTACAAAATAAAAAATACTGTAATCAACAAATCTTCAATGTGTATGATTTTATAGTATAATTTCTTTTCAAAGGACTCATAGCCAAAAGGTAAAATAACTTTTACAAAGCAATAAAATAAAGACAAGCCACCCACTAAGAAAGTGAACAGAACTTGAATGGGCCCCTTACTGGAGAGGAAATCCAGCTGGCCAATAAACACCAGAAGATGTTCACTCTCTTTGCTAAGAGGGAAATACAGATTAAAACATAGTAAAATACTACTCTATACCATCTGTGTTCATAAAAATTTAGAAGTCCGATATTACCACATGCTGGCGAAGATACCAAGCAATGGGCGTTCTCCACGGCTGGTGGGATGTAAATCGTGAGACCTACTTTGAGAAACAGTTTGCCCTTTATCTGGTAGAGTTGAAGATACACATATCCTGTGACAGGCAATTCTACTTCTGGATCTATACCTTGAAGAAGCCCAAGCACATGGGGACCAAAAGAAGTGTACAAGATATTTGAAGCCTCATAATAGCCAAAAACTGGAAATAAACCAAAAATTCATCCCTAGATATATTGCCTGTTGTAAGTTCAGGTAGCAAAATTCCACTACACAGCAATTAACAGGAGGGAATATAATAACATACAACCATGAGCATGGATCACACAAATACAATGTTCAATGAAAGAAGCAAAACAGAACAGATCACATGACATGATGGCGTTCGTAAAAAGTTCAAGTGCAGGTACCCCTAAATGATCTGTTTAGGAATGCATATCCAGGCAGTGCAACTATGAAGGAAACCCAGGAAGTAAGTGTCATAAACCCAAGATAGTAGGGGAATAGGTGGGGTCAGGAAAGGATATAGGGGGCTCCTTGACTACTGAAAACAATCCATGCAATGACCTGGATAACAGTTACACAAATGTTCACTTCATGATTACTCATTAGCTCTGAATTTTGATTAATGTATTTTTGTGTGCATTGTATTTCACAGTTTTAAAAAACTAAAAAAGCCTGCCCCAAGAACCTTATAATCTAAAACAGAAATATACAAATTAGAGTACAAAAAAACAATTATACAAAAGACAGGGAGAATACGGGGATAAAAAGCATTCTGAGCCTTACCTGGGAGAAATCAAGGAGGGCTTCACAGAAGTAGCAGTATTTGTACTGAATGAAGTATGAAGAGAAAAATAAGGTGAAGACTGAAATGATACAACTACGTCACTAGAGATCTTGACAAGAGCAATGTTAAGAATAGATATTGTGAAGAAAGAACCCAGACTCCAATAGGTTGAGATGAGGATTTAGAGATTAGAATTCAGACTCTTTCTAGAACTTAGGCTATAAGAGGAAAAATGGGTATGGGTCTAGAGTAAGAGTGGTCAAGGTAGAGTTGGAGCTTGGGGAGTTCATTTGTTAAGACAGGAGGGGACTAAGTGTATTTATATGCAGACAAAAATAGACTAAAAAGGAATGGGAGCTTGAATGTGGAGAGAAAAGTTTATCTAATACCAATGCAAGATCCTTGAGGAGTCAAGAGAATATGGAATTAACAGCACAGATAATCTGATTAGCACTGGATGGGGAGGGAGAGAGAGAGAGAGAGAGAGAGAGAGAGAGAGAGACCCCTTCATTCAGGCTGGGAACAGGAGAAGGGAGAATATGGTAGGGCATAATAAGTCAGCAGGTGGGTGGTAGCTCCTCAAATTAGAGCTTTTCTGTTTCATTTTTTCCCCATTATTTTGCAAACATCATGTAATACATGTTGTAAGAGAACACCGGAAAAGCACAGAGAAGTATGAAGGAACAAAAATCCACTGCTTTCATTCTGGCCTATTTCACTCCAGTCTTTTTTCCATGCTTCTTTCCTTCGAGATTTGATAACATGCAGGGCACCTGGGTGGCTCAGTAGGTTAAGCCTCTGCCTTCGGCTGGCATCATGGTCTCAGGGTCCTGGGATCAAGCCCCACCTCAGGGTCTCTGCTCATTGGGGAGCCTGCTTCCTCCTCTCTCTCTGCCTGCCTCTCTGCCTACTTGTGATTTCTGTCTGTCAAATAAACAAATAAAATCTTAAAAAAAAAAAGGAATTGATAACATGCTATAAATTCTTTTTTTATATAGCTTTGGTTTTTATTTCTGGGTGTTTTTTTTTTTTTCTGTATAATTGAAAACAAAACTAACTCTTAGAGGAAAGGGATATGGAGAACTTTAAATATAGCCAAGGATTAGAATAATCATCATAGGAAAGCAAAGTGAGTGCTAAATAAGAATATGTAATAGGCTTTGCAAATGGAGAGTCCACTGGGTCCAGATGATACTAGATTTCAGAAGTCCGCAGCTGCCCGGGGAGCATGGTTGAATGATTCGCTCCAGCATGTTCAGCAACCCACGTAAAGGAGCAGAGAAGGATTAGATTAATCTAAAATCTGAGCTTTGCCTGGCAATGAGTGTTCATTTTATAATCCTCACCAGAGTCCTGATTTTATAAAATCAGTAATGGCCTTTTTACAGATGAGGAAATTGATAGCTCAGAAAAGTGACTGGTCCAGCAGTGCACACAAGGGAGAGTGAGTCTAAGGGAAACCAAGATCTCGGATTCCCAGCCCAGCGCTCTGTCCACATCACCACAGATGTCTCCTAGAACCGACAGGTCCCTGGAATCTTTTAGGTAAATTGACCAGAGCTCTGGGCTCAAATGAGCTGGTTAATAAAGTCTCATCATCATTAAGGAAAAGTACACATGTTATCTATATGAATAAAGAGGCAAAGTTTTCCTCTAAGGTGAAAGTGATACATCTATGAAATTCTTATTTCAACTGAAAAACTTATACAGGTCTAGACCCCTACAGTAACAAACAAAACAAAACAAATCTCCATGCTCATAGCTCAAGTCTTAATTTAAAAGCAATATAATTTACTTGACTATGCATCCTAATTGGTATTCAACTCTTAAAAACAGGAAATTCGGGGCTCAGTGGGTTAAAGCCTCTTCCTTCGGCTCAGGTCATGATCCCAAGGTCCTGGGATCGAGCCCCACATCGGGCTCTCTGCTCACTGGGGAGTCTGCTTCCTCCTCTCTCTGTCTCTCTTTCTGCCTGCTTGTGATCTCTCTCTGTCAAATAAATAAATAAAATCTTAAAAAAAGAAACAACAACAGGAAATTCGTCATCAGTAAATATGAGGTTATATCAAACAGAGTGAAGATCCCCTTAAAATTTTCTCCTAATGTCCCCTGCCATCTAAATCTCACTGCACCACCCAAGCAGAATTTCTGACCATTCAGATCTCCAGCTTAAGTAAGAGACCCAAATGTTCCATTTTTAGAATATTAGGCATATGGGATGGTGCTGGGGAAGGGCACAGGGGACAGAGTAGAGCCTTCTCACTCTCCCTTCTGAAAGCCCCCAGCTCTGGGGAAACCAGACTGTACAGAGCATGGAGGGGCTAGAAGTTGGTTTCCCCGCCCACCATCACGCTGTTCTCTAGTCCTTCCCAGTTCCCCACCACCTTGAGGGGAGAGGGAAATACAGGCATCCCCTGCTTTTCCAAGTTCACATCACACCACTTCGCATTTATGGAAGACCTAAGTACCTGTGTTTGCTAACTAAAAGAAACCCAAAGAGAATTTTCATTTTTATGGGGGGGGGGCGAGGGCCACAAAGGTGAGCACCGAAAATAGCACTCAGAATTTGCTCCACAGAAAGGGTTACAGAGCCAGTGAGAGTGGCCCAGCCAAGCTCCTTCCCTGGCAACTACCCTCAGTGTCTTAGCATCAGGCCCCACAGCTCTGAACTTGATTTAGTCTGCACATCGTTAGGAAGATGTTCCAGAGGTATCCGGAACACCTAAAAGAGGTTGTTTCTTGAGTCTGGGAATGCTCAAAATATAAATTAACTGTAATTGCATCTCCACTTTATGCCATTTCAGCTTAGGAAAGGTTTCATTGGAACACTTGACTCAGATAGCAAGGGAAACCTGTAAATATCTAAGATGGGCTCTCCCAGCAGATGCTGCCTGCCTGCCACTCACCACGTCTGAGTTCAAACTCGCCTCAGTGGCTTGTGCACACCCCTTCCCTCAGTCCCCAGAGAACACCCCCTCCTAATGCCTCCACTCCTCTGAGCTTCTGCTCCCTCTCCAGCCCCTTTCCCAGCCCCTTTCCCAGCCCTGGCAGGATGGTTCCGCAGTCCCTGAGTTTCTATTCCTCGAGCCCTCTAGTGGCCAAGACATGATGGGACCCGCGGGGTACAAAGGATGGGTGGGAAAGAAACATCAGGGACTTGAGTAGGAGGGGAGAGGGAGAAGGGCAGAATGCGGAAAGACAGAAATACCTGGACCAAGCCCAGGGGCCCAGCCTAAGGTACAGGCGGTAGAGGATAGAAGCCAAAGCAGTTGCAGATGTCTAAGAGACAAATGCAGGTGAGATTGCAGGCCACGTGGACAAATTACCTGAGTTCAAATCTCAGCTCTCGCCACCTACAAACTGTGTGTCCTTGGACAAACTTCTGAATATTCCCAGGCCTCAGATTTTCTCCTCTTTAAAACGTGGGTAAGAATAGTATCTTCCTGGGGTGTCTGGGTGGCTCAGTCAGTTAAGCATCTGCCTTCAGTTCCGGTCATGATCCCAGGGTCCTGGGATCCAGCCGCACATCAGGCTCCCTGCTCAGCGGAGAGTCTGCTTCTCCCTCTCCCTCTGCCCTTCATTCATGCTTGCCCAGTCTCTCCAGTGCTTGCTGTCTTTCAAATAAATAAATAAAATCTTTAAAAATAGTATCTTCCTCACAGGTTGTTAGGTGTAAATGCGTTAAGACATATGAAGTGCTTAAAAAAGGGGCATCTGCCTGGCTCAGTCAGAGGAACTATGACTCTTGATTTTGGGGATCATGAGTTCAAGCCCCATTTTGGGTATAGAAATTACTTTAAGTAATAATAAATAAATAATAAATAAATAAATAAATAACTTTTAAAAATGAAATGCTTAAAACAGTGTCTGACCCCTGGTATACACTTAATAAATGTTAGTGATCAGCATCATCAGAAGTATGAACATCATTATTATCTGTCTAATATGAATGAGCTTAACATTTGCACAAATAAATATATTGGAATTAGGCAAAATTTCTATATGCTATTTTATCTATAGGAGTGAATTTAAACTACTCCTAATGGTCCAACTGAACCTCTATGTGTTCTTTTTATATAGACCTTTACTTGATATTTAGCTACAATGTGTTAAGCACATAAACCTCTGTTAGCTGTTTAGTTACTGCGTGTATATATCTGAATCTAAAGAACTCAGGGATGCATGGATTAAC